GACCCTTATTATATTAAACCAATACAATATGTTTTGTGTTTACCAGTGTTAGTATACATGTTTTAGTGGATTTTGGCAATTACTGAGGTCAGTGAAGGTCTCATGCCCTGTGAAGCCTGTCAATCATGCTAGCTACCAATGGGGGGTGGGTGGCACACATGAGCGTACCTGGATTAGCAGAGAGAGAGAGTGAGGTGGGATGTTGTGTTTGTGCTGCTGGCCTGCAGTGTTGCCAACTTGGCGATTTTCTCGCTAAATCTGGCGACTTTCATAAACCCTCATGGCAACTTTTTTTGTCAAAAGCTACTAGCGACAAATCTAGCTACTTTTTCTGGTGTTGTTGGAGACTTTTCTGGTGTTTTGACTCTGACGTGAAAGCACATACCGTTCGGCACGCGGGAGCTGCCGTGAGCCCCTCCGCCGCCTCAAAGCACTCAAAGGTGGTTAGTCTCACAGTAGCCCCTCGCGCAGCAGTCCCAGCTGCAGAAAGAGGAGACCCACACTCTCCGTGTCCAGACTGCAAATGAATCGCGCATGCTCAAAGCCGCCGCTGTTCCCGCCTCTCTCCTACAGCGCTCATTACAATTATGCAAATTAGGCGATGACGTCATTTAGCGACTTCTAGCGACTTTTACGACAGCCAATAGCTACTTTCCTTACTGAGGAGTTGGCAACACTGCTGGCCTGTGGAGAGTTAGTCTATGACCGGGAGCAGATTGTTAAGCATGTTAGAGAACATTTAACGGTGTTGACTATTGTTTTGGTGTAGGCTACGGCCCACAGTAGCCTGTGTGCTGTCCGCTAATAAGACACCACAAGTAAGATAACGTTTCGTAGCTTTCCTGACCAAGAGTCGGTACAATATTACTCACAAGCCCTCGAGGCAACTCTGCTTCTTCGTCTTCTCATATTGGACTGAGGACAGACTGGACGCTACAGAGACTCACTATCGCTTCTAGAGGTACAAGTGGTACTACAAGACAAGACGGGGGGCTAGCTGGTTAGCATGCTCATTTCACTAGATACCTCCACAACACATAGATGTCTTTGACATAATGCAAACACTGAAACCGCTTAAGTTAATAATGTTATTATTTGAATGTTATAAACTAAAAGTATGGCCTACAGCTGAACGTGCCAAAGACTCCTCCTGTTACCATTATGGAAGGACAGTGTATGGAACATTTCCGCACCTTTACGACATCAGATTTAGAAATCTACTAAATTAATTTCATCCACACAATGGGATTCAACCATCCACACATCAACAAGCTTTTAATTGTGGTAGAGAGTTAGGGTGTTTGCTGGTGGGGAGATGCAATGGGGGGGGGGGGGGCAGGAAATCTGCGGGATTTACAGCCTAATCTTCTTAGGCACTTCCCTGTCTGCCGAGCTTCAGACTGGGGCTGAGAGGAGTACGTGCTAGCTTAGCGCAGCTGTCAGGAGCCGCCTGCCACCAAATCAATAGCAGTCTTCCTCCGAGTCTCTCTCATGCCTCCTCAGCCTCAGCCCTTCAGCTTCTCCTGCCGGCACTAAATCAATGACTCCCGAAGCTGATTAGCAGGTTCAAGTGTGGGTCATTTCACACAGCCATGGAAAACTTTAACCCAAGAACATACTGTAACTACACACTGCAAGTGCAGGAATGTTGTTGATGTGTGGAGGTTGGAGGGCAGTTTCCTGCTTCCTGTCAGAGATCACCTTTAACTTTATTTACTGCAACATCATTGGTGCCAGCTACTGAATGATAACAGCTACAACTAATGTGCCCCATTTTGTTTCCCTCATGTGATGTTTCTGATTGTTCATCAAACTTGTTTATATGGAAGGCTCCTGCACGCTGAGAGGGCTGTGTGTTACCGCACTTCTTTGCACTCCAGAAAATGAGCACTGGGTTTACCACGAGTCAAACCCGGCTGAGTTTCATACCAATATAAATCCGATAGCGCCTCCAAGTGGACACACGGGTACATGGCAAGCTGTGCAATGAAAGGTGAGGTTTAGAATCAGAGTTAGGGAATCTGGGAAACCTTGTTCATTGTGAACTCTTCATGCAGCAACACATTATATACTGTGTTCCAGCTGTCAACCTGTACTATAGCAGATCTACTCCAAGGCCTTGCTGTTGCTTCACTTGTTCTTATACGTGCATCGTATCAGTGGGTGATGCAGAGGAAGAAAGCGTGCTACAGGGTTCAACAGTCACACTTAAGAAAAGAGCCAACGATGATCAGATGACTGTCATATATTTCTCAGTGTCTGTACAGTAGCTGACATAAACAATACAGTCACATTTATGCACTACAATGAACTGAGCAGTGACATCCCATAATAACATCTTACTCGCGCACTTAAATGTGTGCTTCAGAAGTAGTGCTTCATGTTTTCCAAATCAAATCCAGTATTGCCGTCGAGCCTCACCACTTTGAATAGTCACATATTTCATGTTAAAATATCTTCTTAGTATCTAACACACACACACACGCTCACACTGAGGGCCCAATGTTATTAAAAGTAGTCAGAGAATGGAGGCTGTAGTATGGCCAGTCCCACAGCAGACCAGGTTCAAGTCTAGCCCAGTCTGACCCAGGACCCATCCCCTCTCTGGGGATGACACTGACCCCTCTGGAGTCAGTTTTGGACGTGTCAGGGACGGCTAGTCTGTTTCCACTCCATACATGCATAGTGTCTTTTCAAAATAAACTTCCGACATCACAGGAAAATAAGTTTAGGCAACAAAACAGCTTAGTTAGGTTTAGGAAAAGAGCATGGTAGACAGTGGCTGATCCCAGATCAGCCTGACCTCACAATCAGACAGCAGACTAGCGGGAAAGGGAAGCAGTACATACGAAGCTGTACACCAGACAGGTTTGGCTAGCTGGATGATGTCATGCTAATAATTTATTTAGTTTTTTAAAACAACGGGGACAGATCCAGCACGGACAGTTAGGGAGTGAGGGATGAGGAGGTAAGGAGACATGAGAACACCAGGACACACATGGAGAACTCTGTCAAGCTACATATTAGGCAAAGTGAACATCCTTTCTTCTACATAGTTGTCCTCAGTCTCATCTGCTTAACTTGGTCATGGAGGCATCAACATTTAATTGAGATGGTAAATTAACAGTGAAAACTCATCATAGCTTAATTTAACATCAGTATTCATAATTACACTTCATGTTTACTTCTCCTGATCTTTACCTCAATAAATACACATTATATTATATTATATATATATATATATCATAATATTCAGTATAATAAATAACGCACACATATACATATACATATATATATATATATACATATATACATATATGTATATACATATATACATATATGTATATATATATATATATATATATATATATATATATATATATATAT